TTAAGTTTTTGTGTTTCTTTGAAAAATTCAATTACTAATTTTTTTGGGGTTAAAAAGCACACAGATTACGTGGAAAATATATCACATATAAACAGTATTCGGAGGTTCTGTATTTGAGTTTTTATACTTAGGTTCACAGAGATTCGGAACAACCAAATATAAGTGTAAAGTTTCTGTAAACGGCTATCAGCGTGCTTAATTCCAAGAGTTGAATAAATGAAAATTGCCGCTTTAAACTTATTTGCGAAACACTGAAAACATGACTAAAATGCAAAACAATTGCAAAAAGCCTACTGAATGCAAAGTTCTCTCTACTTTGAGTTTGGAACACCAAACGTGAACAAATACGGCAAATATTTATGCTATAAAATTACAAAACTATTCATATTCGGGTGAAGATTGAATTTTTTAACTTCTTTTTAACGGCAATTGAAAATATTTGTACAAAAATTCCGAGACTTATTTTGAACTTTTAATTTTTTTATATCTTTTTTTCAACATTTTAATAGTTAATTGAGCGCATATTCGACTATGGTTTTGATGATAAATTTTTCTAGAAAAATTGCGTGCCATGTAATTCCATATTATTAAAATACATGCAAAATTATAATCAAATATATTATTTTGATTTAAAGATTTGAATAAGTAACAATTCTGTCCCACTGTTTGATGAACACATAATTTTTTGGTAATTCAAAATTCAGAAAATCATAATTCTGGGTTCACTCAAAAAGTTTTTTGTAATTTTTGGATTTTTGGTGTGCAAAAATTATAGACAAAGCTTTATGAATTTGACGCCCAATTGTTTTAGAAAACGTTTGTTTATGCACAGAAACTGCTTTCTACTAGAAAAAAGCACAATCATTTCTTTTTCAATATTTCAGTGAACTGATTTACTTGAATCATCATACACTTTTTGTTCCTGGAACTTAAATGATGACTGTTTTTTCTATGGGTTCCACGAGTTTGTTATTGTTTTTGTTTTGGTGTATGGAAATGATTGTTATTGTTTTTCTTGTATAAGGTCACATCGAAGAGAAAGATAGATGAAGTGAATACTTTCTATCAAACGTCGATAAATTCTGAAATGAATAAAGTAAAGTTCGAAAAAAAATTGTCGAATGGAAAAAGCGTTATTGTAATTCCAGCATTGACTTGTAGTTTTTAATGAATTTTTAAAACGCCTAAAATTACATAAAATTTGCACTAAGTTCTGAATTGCTTCTCAATCTTTCAAAAAAATTTAAAAAAACATAAGACTGTGCTAGAAACTGCCGCTTAACTGAACTCAAGTATAAAAAGATATTTCAACTTTGGCAGTTTTTTGTATATTTATGAGGACTTGATTTTACGATGTCCCTGACAATTCTCACAAGCAAAAGTTGTACACATTGCTTTCCTGTTGTAAATTCCAAGCACAACTCAAAAGCTTCAAAATGAATCAGCTCTAAAATTACTACGAGCAGGTCAGCGTAGTGTTTAGTTTTGCCTGCAAAAAATCAGCTAAAATCAAAATTTTACGCTTTGTTTGGAGAATAGAATTGAAAGCTTCAATAGGAAAAGTTTTGAACAGAAGTGATCGATTGGCTTCTTGCCTCTTATTTATATTGAATAAGTGGTGTAGCAGGAATGATAGCGTGTATAGCCATTTGTCAGTTGCACCAATATAATTGGTTTTAATTGCAAAAATCCTAAATTTTTCCCAGATTTAGGTTGGTTTATTGCAAATAGAAAACAAATTTTTCTTTAACTGATTAACAAAAATTGATTACCATCAAAAAAAATTCTTAACATAAACAGGGTTCAATGATTGAAATGCATGTAGTCAAGAATCAGCATAATTTTCTTCAGAAAAAAAGCATCAGAAAAATTATTCAATTATCAAAAACTCTTACATTTATTCGAGGAGGAGGTCTACCGACTCAAGCTTCAAAAAAATCAAGCTTCAAAAAAAAATACTAAATTGCATATAACACTATATTTTAAGACCTTTTTTTGATGAACAGTATAATTCCCCCCTCCCAAAGCAAATTAGGAGGAATAAAACCTTTGGTTTATCAGAAATTTACTTTGAGCGCAAAATAAATTCAATTTTTCTAAAATTATATATGAACAATTAATTAATAATCATCAATATAAAATGTTGTTGGAAATGCATGTTGTTGGAAATGCATGTTGTTGGAAATGCAGACTTTAAACGGAGTCAGATTTCAGTGGTTAGTAAGTCCCTTAGGTGGATCGGGGGTTGTACTATTGGTCCAATTATTTGATATTTTCCTCTCAGCACCAAAAAATTCTGTAGATTTCTTTCAGCTTTAATTATAATTAAAAGCTCTCCAATTTGACTTTGGAACAATAAACGTCAGTAAATTCGACTTGACGTCAATAAATTCTGCTTGACGTCAATAAGTTTCATGCTAAGAAAAAACAAGACAGCTTGTATCAGCGTAAAGGCTTAAATTTTTTGGATTTCTCCCTATTGTCGGTTAAAATTATGTTTTAAAAAATCTTGTCTAAAACTTGTCATCCTTAACTTCAAATTCCCAGAATGTTCCTGAAATTTTATTGTTCCGATACGAAAGTAACAGAATATTTGTGCTCGGCATGGGTTTTTTTCTTCAGACAAAGTTTGACTTTTTAACTAGCCATTTTGACGGATTTTTTTTATATCATTCAAAAGGTATTGTTGTCCTGAGCTCAAATTTGAAAAGATATTTCACCTGTGATCATTTTTCGTAAAGTTATGGCGGTTTAAAGATTGCCATTTTGGCCAATTTGGGACAATTAACACGCGATATATTTCGCGCTATTAACGCGTAAGCGGAGATTTAATCCGTCTTAGAAATCGTTCCAAATTGGTTGAAAGAAGGTTACGTGCCATAATTGATTGATTATAACGAGCGAAATCTATCATTTTGAAATTTAGATGGCGTGTGGGGGGATGATTTTCATAAAATTTCAAATTTTAGAGAAAAAAAATTTCATTTTTTCTTACATTTAATTTTTTTAAATGTTATTACTGCTCCACAAACCTTAAAAGGCAGTCGGAAAATTCAGGGCTTCGCCCTGATACGAGCAGTTTTATTATACTTTTATTTCTTATTTTTCCCCTTGCATGCTATAATTAGAAATTAAAAAAATTTGTGTCTGCTAATAAAACAAGACTGCTCGTAACAGTGTGAAGCCCTGAAGGTTTCGACTTCCTTTTAAGGTTTATGGAGCAGTAATAACATGGAAAAAACTAAATGTAATAAAAGAAAATGACTTCTTTTTTCTAAAATTTGCAAATTTTTATGAAAATGATCCCCCCACACGCCATATTAAGTACAAAAGCATAGATTACGCTCCTTTTAACAAATCAATTAAGCTTCTTTAAACCAATTTGGAAGGATTAAATCTCCGCTTATGCGTTAAATTTTAGAGAAATGTATCGCGCGTTAACTTTCCCAAAATAGCCAAAATGGCAATCTTTAAACCCCCATAACTTTACGAAAAATGATCACAGGTAAAATATCTTTTCAAATTTAAGCTCAAGACAACAATACTTTTTGAATGGTATAAAAATTCCGTCAAAAAGGAATAGTTTAAAAGTCGAAATTTGTCTGAAGAAGAAAAATCAACCCCGAGCACAAATATTCCGTTACTTTGGTATCGAAAATTCGGAACAATAATATGAGCAAATGAATTGTACGTTCATCAACCCATTTTTCATTGTAATTCAAACTAGTTGAAAGTTCAAACCAATATAACATCCCAAAAATTAATCACTGGTGAAACAATTTTTCATAATTTTGAATAATTTGCACCAATATCTTTCAAACTGTATAAAAAACTTACTTCAAAAATTGATAAACAAAAACTTCGAAACTGGTCTGGAGGAAAAAAACACCCAGAGCGAAAGCATTCCGTGGCTTTTTCTTCTTCGAACTGACAATAGATTCACAGAACTAAAAAAAAATTTATTCTGTTTTACTCATTAGTTTTCACAAGCTCTTGATTTTAAACATCATTTTAAACCCTGGAAATTGAAGGATCACTTTAAGACACAACTGTTGACAAACAGTTTTAATTTGAAAAAACAAGATAAAAAATTGTTTTATTTTTGCAGTGAAATCTAAAAACTAACAAGACTGCTCGTATCAGGGCGAAGCCCTGAATGTTCCGACTGCCTTTTAAGGTTTTATGGAGCAGTAATAACATTTAAAAAAATTAAATATGAAAAAAATTTAAAATTTTTTTTTTAATTTGAAATAAAAATCGTCCCCCCACACGCAATTTCAAGTACAAAAAGATAGATTTAGCTCCTTGTAACAAATCAATTATGGCAAATAAGCTTCTTTCAACCAATTTGGAACGATTTTAATACGGATTAACTCTCCGCTTACGCGTTAATACCGCGAAATATATCGCGTGTTAATTGTCCCAAATTGGCCAAAATGGCAATCTTTAAACCGCCATAACTTTACGAAAAATGATCACAGGTGAAATATCTTTTCAAATTTGAGCTCAGGACAACAATACCGTTTGAATGATATAAAAAAATTCGTCAAAAATGGTTAGTTAAAAAGTCGAAATTTGTCTGAAGAAAAAAAAACCCACCCCGAGCACAAATATTCCGTTACTTTCGCGTCGAAAGTCGGAACGAAAATAGCTTTTGAATATCGAGGTCTATTTTGTCTTATTTTTTCTTCTTTATTGGAGAGTGTAATTTCCTGACTGACTTGCAGTTATCAAATAATGCAGTTGAAGAGATTTTAAAATGAAAAAGAAACAAACCACCAAATTGAAAACTGAGCGTGAACAATTTTTTTCTGAAAAAAAACAGCCTAAGTAACTAATTATTTGCTTCGTTAAATAGAACAAAAAATTGCTGGCCATAAAATAGGCGTCTGTTTTTACTGAGACTAATGCAGCCGTATCATCTATCTTGCGTATTCTGAGGATGCTGATATTGAAGTGCGAACTTTAAATGAATCAGTGCGTATATATTGATTACCTACCGAGAACTGAGGGAAGCAAGACTTGAGACTGGCGTTGGGCTCGTATCCGAAGGAGGGTCCCTCGTGGACCGAAGTTGGCAGGGAGAGTACCTGTCGGAGGTAGTTGTCGAATTTGTTCATGTTCAGACATGAACCCTCCGAGCTGTTGCCGCTGCTCGCAGGGTCACTCACTAGGTTCTCAAACACATCTGAAGCAAATGAAATTTTCCTAGAAAACTAAAAAGGACAAAAATGGTAAGATAGCAGCAATGACGATGTACGGGCAGAATAACTCCGGTGAAAAGTTGTATGGATATTAGTTTAACATTAACATATAGACGCGGAATTCAATAAATAACTATCTTACAAATCTAAAAATGTTTGGTACTCTTTGCCCAGCCTTCTCAATTCATAGTTTTTATTTCATTTTGTAAATTCAGCTTTCAATTCTCCCCACACATTTTGTTAAGTACCGTATGCTAGTCAAAAGTTCGACCAATCAGAATGCAGCAAAATTAGAATTCTCAATACAAATCTCTAGTGCTGATTTGCTGTATTTATTGACAGGTGGTGGAGAATCTTCAGTAGATACCATAAGGGGGAGGGGGGATTGTTTAGTATAAGTAAATCCAAAAAATCTACTTACATTTGAGTTTGTCCACGTACTTTCCCGAACACAGTGTGGATAAAGCCACTTTGATTGATATGACCTTGATTGACCCCGTGCAGTCCGGGTCATATGCGCCCAGTATCCAACCCATCAGCATACTCAGCGACTACAAAAGACAGGAATTAAATTGTCTCAGGCAGCTAGAGAAAAGAATTTAATTTAAATAGGTTATCATCATAGATCACTAGCTCCAGGAGAGCAAGAGATGCACCTGAATAACCATTTTCACGTCACAGTTTGCTGTTAAAAGAATTGCAGAGGCGTATAAATTTCGAGTTTGAGAAAACTGAAAATGCGCCGTACTAAAATGTGTTAGGTAAATGAAAACAAGACTGCTCGTATCATGGCGAAGCCCTGAATGTTCCGACCGCCTCTCAAGGTCTATGGAGCAGTAATAGCATGAAAAATTAACTGTAACAAAAATAAAATGAAGTTAAAATAAAAAATTTGAGACTTGTTGTGAAAATCATCAACCCACTTGCCATAAAAAGTACAAGTGATAAATTTCGCTCGTGGTAACATATCAATTATGCCAAATAATCTACCTTCAACCAATTTGAAACGATTTCTTATACGGATTAAATCTCGGCCTACGCGTTAATAGCGCGAAAAAATTCGCGCCTTAATTGTCCCAAATTTTCCAAAATGGCAATCCTTAAACCCCCATAATTTTACAAAAAATGATCACAAGTGAAATATTTTTTTCCAATTTAAGCTAAAAAAACAATACTTTTTGAATGGTATAATAAAAATCCTGTCGATAATGGCTAGTTAAAAAGTCGAAATTTGTTTGAAGAAAAAACCCATCCCAGGCATAAATATTCCTTTAATTTCGTTACGAAAGTCTGAACAATTACCCTATGCACGGATGAGGGAGAAACGTTTCGTTTTTTGTTTTGAATTTTGCTAACACAAACTGAAGCCTTTTCTAAGTTTTTAAGCTGTTTTAGTCCTTCTTATTTCGGTACAATGTTCTAAAAAAGTCAATACCCTTAAGGTGTTTATACATTTTGAGCTCAAAATCCCAGATAAACTACCGCATAAAAATTGAGGGTAACTGATAATCGTTTTTAATGGTTCTACAACAGTTATTATGCCAAAACATATAATGAGCTTTCAAAATAGAAAACTGAACAATTTATAGGCTGCAAACTACGGCAATGCAGATAAACTCCCGCAGATAAAAATTGATTATATACAGAAAAAACTACAGATCAGTTTGAGTATGAAATCGATTTATCTACGAGCATTTCACGAACGAATTGAATTTTTGTCACCGAAAACAAAAAGATTTTAGTGCCAAAATAATCGATGTTCTTATTCTATAAAACTTATTTATAATCTTTAGATAATATGTATATAGTCAGTATATAAACTTTATTTAAGAAAAACTGTATATACTCTGTGTATAATCTGTTTTAAATCTTTAATTATTTTGTTATATTGTGTAAAAACTATAGTGGATCTAATAATTTCACGTTTAACCAACCAAATTTTGAATTAATAATTGTTTTTTTTCACAGACTTCAGAAAAAATTTGTAATAAAGAGAAAAATTCCTCAGTGATATAGAGCTATACTCACATGAGGAGGAAAGTTTACCGCAAAATTCAAATTTCAAGATTTTCGTCTCAATTTTTGCAACCTAATTATTCCTGCTGCTAAAAAAGTACTATCGTGCAAAGTTTCTTCAAATAAACTACGAAGATCAATTTTTTAATGAAAAAAAAAATCCAAACATTAACTAAGAACAGTTATCTTAGCTGCATGGCATTTCACTTTACTGATTTTCAAAAAATTTTAGATCAAACAACAGCACCAAAATTTAACAAAAAAATTACAATGTACTTATATTCCAATATAATCATATTATCTGGTGGGTGAATCTGTTAAATAAATCAATATATAATCTGTATAAGATATGCAAATAGCTTGTATAAAATTTGTTTGTAGTCTGTATACGATCTGCATATAATATGCATGCAATTTGTTACAAATAAAACAGTTTTACAGTGTTTTGAAAAAAAGGTTGCATAACATCGTGTTTAAAAAACAGACCCTTTGAAAACCACGACGCACAATAATCGATTATTAAAACTAGATAATTAAAGTTTTAGTATATAAAATTACAGCAGATCTTAGCTCTGCATATTTTTTGTAGACAATCAATTTAATTTCATTTTTGTCACTACAGGTTGCCATGCAAAACAGCAATGGAAACTGCAAAAAAAAATTGAGAAAAAAACTATGAAAACACTAAATGAGCAACAAACCGAGAGATTAGTATGCTTATCAAAACTAAACAACAGTCTTGAAAACAACAAGAAATCAGACAGTACATGTTAACACAAAGACCGATATGCCTGCTGAATATTTTGTTAAATTATCAAATGTGGTCAGTTTTAGGAGCATCTACTTCAAACCAACTTGTGGAAAACAGTCTCAGAAGGATTTGATGAAAATTTGATGACAACTGGACGTTGTTTTAACATAAAAAATCTCGGGGAGTCTTTTGAAATTCTCAGAAGAAAAAAGCACGCCAAACCCATGTTTCAGTCATCTTTAGGAAAATCGAAAAAAACCTCTGCAGAGGGAAGATTGTGAACCACTCAAACTAAAATTTTCTTTGATTGTGGCCACCAGATTTATTTGAGAAAAATTACCATCTTTTGCGAAGAAACTCAATCTCATCAAAGGGCAAACAATTGAAAGCGTCAGTTTGTATGCAGTTTTTCGAGAAAGGTACAAATTTAATAACATAATTTCAGTGCGTTTACTTCAGCCTACTTTTGTGTTACTAAAAGCAATGTAACATATGCAATTTCGAGAAAAGCATTCCAAACTTGAATTGATATGTAATTCTTTCGTTTAATTTCGTTTTTCTTATTTAATTTTTGAGACAAAAAAATCTCTTAGAAAAATTTTTGCTCATGAAAAAATCTTTTGTTTCTCATTCAAAAAACGGCCCGGAGGCAAGTGCATTAATATTTCCGCATAAAAAAGAAGTTTATATGAAGCGTAGGTTGGAGAAACATCCTATCTTCTAGAGTGTCAGAGATGTTACGAATACAAATTAATAGCTTCTTCATTAAAAAATCCTTTGACACCTTAGTCCTATAAATTGAAAAAATTGAAAAAATAAACCCATTTTTCATTAATAACTGGGTTCTTGAGGTATCTCAAAATTTTTCAGCAAAATTTATTTCTGTAAAATCAATAATTTGCACTACTATAAAAGAGTAATAATTGAAACTAATGTACAGTTTCAGCACGGGAACCTTACAGCCTTTTGGCTAAATATTGCTATTAGTTGATTTTTTGCTTGCCCAAAAAATTCAAGATTGTTTTCCTAAGAAATAATTTCTTACGTATCCAGAATCAAAAAGCTGTTTTAAAAGTTTTCACAGATGATGAATGCCATCAATAATATATTGGGTTTTTGAGATCTCTCAAAATTTTCTTCAGAACACATTTCTGTGAAATCGATAATTTGCACTAGTATAAAAGAGTAATAATTGAAATTAAAGTAGTTTCAACACAGGAAACTTACAGCCTTTCTTCAAAAATTGCATTGAATTGATTTTTTGCTGACGCAAAAAATTCAAGGTTGTTTGCCTAAGGAATATTTTTTTACGTATCCAGAAATAAAAAGCTGTTTAAAAAGTTTTCATAGATGAATGCCATCAAGAGATGCAGACAAAATTAAGTTATGACTGCAATTTTTCTAAGCAATTGTGATTACGTTTACAAAACCTTGAAAAAAAACTAAGATTGCATATTATTTCAAAGTTTTCTCTGTTAAATCGTAACTGCAATGCCAAATATCAATTTTTTATAGTAATACAAATTGTGTTTCATTTTGATGTACAAATTTTAAAAGACTTCAAAAAAAATGAATAAAAAAATTGATGGTAAAATCGTCACTTCTTGTCTTATTACCTTCCCCTCACAAAGAAGCTAAGGAATATATATGCTCGAGGGGGTTTTTTATTCAGATCAATTTTGAAAAGAGTATTTTTTCTCGGGGGATCGATCGTTAGATCATCGTGGTCTCCACTGCTTGCGCACATCACTATTTTAACGAGCCACTAGTGTTGCTAAACTGCTAAACTGGTTCGGGAAAACTAACGCGACTCATTTATGCGTGGTGATTTATCCCGCACTACTTCAATTTGATCTTATCAGACTAATTTTTATATTTCATGCAGGCGCGGATTTAGAGGGGGAGCGGACGCCCCCCCCCCTTCTACCCTCTCATGGATTGACCCCCTACCGACCCAAAGGGTCCACCCTTTGGTACTATTTAAGAAATCCATTTATGGCCGACCGACCCTAAAGTTTTTCTTAAGGCGCCTTTGGCGCCAATGTATACTATTTTTGAGGGGGAGCGCGCGAGAAGAAAATCCTAGATGCGCCCCCTGATCTTTTCTGGCCAATTTCAGGAAAATTACCTCAAAAATGAATACTTTCCAATAACAACCGGAAAAATTAATGCAATTGGACAATTTAGTGAACATTTTTTCATGTTTATATGCAAATACTCCTGAGCCTGAACGGAGGGAAAACCTAAAGAAGTGTGCAACACTAGCCTGATCTACATTCAACTGATGAGTAGAGGGGAGTCGTTTGTTCAAATAGTAGTAGACGGTGGAGAGGGTTGACTCTAGTTTGCCCACAGACACTTCGCTGTCTCCATTCAAGGCGTCCCCGTGTAAGTTGTTCTCCCGGAATGCCTCAATGACGTTGTAAATGTCCACTAAGTGAACTGTAGCAAAAAGCGACAAACTAAATTTGCAAAGTTTCAAATATTTCGATATAAATAATTAGAGAAAAAAGCAGAAAGAGCAGATATTGTCAAAATAGTCGATTATGTTCCAACCCATATCGCTTTGTCAATATTTAGAGAAAAAAATAAGAAAACCAATTTCGTCCCGTCTTGGCTCAAAAAGTCACAAAACGATGGTTTCAATTCCTTTTTCTCGACGTCGGAGAAAATATTGGCACTTATTTTACATCTGTGACTTGGGTTCAAATATCATACATTGCATGACCTTCTCTTGAAAAAAACGCCCAAAAAGCAAGACGCTTAAGACTTTCTGTGGTCAGAACCAAAAAAAACTATTTTAATTTTGATTATTTTGTCCTAATTTTTCTATAACCTAAATTTTAGCTTTAAAAGAAATAAATGACTCACAATAAACTTTCTTCTGGATAAAGCGGAGCTTGCAGGCTGTTCGGTAAGTGGCGAAACGGATCTTGTCGAAATTCTGGGATTCTGAAACAAAGTATGTTTTAGATCAAGAATTCGAATTCTGCTACCCAACTTTTTTTTCCTTGAAAAATAGCGGTAAGAAGAACTTTTCGTCTTCATTTCTTAATCAAAAGTTTTGAAGAAGAAATAAAAATTTAAATTAGAGGTAGTTCGCATAAATGGCCTGAATCTCGTGTGGCAATTTTTCTTTGATGGAGAAACGGGGTCAAGTATACACTCACTCAGTTCTGTGTGAAGTTGTTCTCTGTCTATAAGGGGCCATTGGGATCCAACGTCTCCACCAGACCTACAACAAAAAATCAGGAATTAACAAAAACCTACACCAAAAAACTATTGTGTCAAATAGAAGAGCTATATTTAAGTAAAAAAGCAATATTTGTTAATTTTAACGAACATGTATTGACAAATAAGGAATCAATTGGAATCTTCCAAATACTTTTCTGATCTTTTCTTGAAGCCATTCTTAGATGCATTCGCCCCAATTCTTAAAACTAGCGCCAAAAAAAATCAAACCAAACGTCATTGAACAACAAAAAGCAAAAAAAAATCATTCAAAACTTAATAATATCAAAACTTGATCGATGCGCATACGTCATATCAAATACTGTTCTGCACTTATTCGGCATCCTTTGGATCCTTCCTCTAGAAGGACGGATCAAACTAGTTGCATGTTGCCAATTCTCGCTTGTCAGCTTAACGTGCATCGGGAGACCCGACAACTTGGTATCCGGCTCCAATGTTGCGTCACCGTTCGGAGAGTGGTGATCTGAGCTCTTTTTAGAAGCGTCTGAAGAGTGTTCCAAGGTTATCGACAGATCCCGACCTTCGACAGTAGGAAATGGAAGCAAGGGACGTCGCTCGGGAACCAAGGGAGTCCCGCTGTTGGTCTTCCGAAGCGTAGCATGGTTCTCTGACTTACTCGCCGTGGCACTATTAGGATGTTGCTGAGGTGGTATTGGAATCGGGCTCAGACAGTTTACAATAGCTGCTGACCATGGACGTTCGTTTAGTAACGAAAAGTTTGGCATTTTATGCCTCTTTTCGACTGTTCAATTAAAAGTGAAGTTTCTTTGGAGCAGGGCTATATACTAGTAATCATCAAAGACAACGGGTTGAAATTAAGTTCAATATAAATACAGTTCACTGAACATGAAGGTCTGCAACTTGAAGGCACAAAAAGAGATTCAAAGTCACTTAGCATTCGTTACAATATCACCGAGAAACTTAATTCAAACGGTAGTGTCAACAAGACGACATTTACACTACAATTAGAAATTACGCGTGACGTTTGATTATAAATTGTGAATTCTGTTTAGAATTCCACTATAAACACAGTTGTGTGGTAATAACAAAGTTATTATTCCATTATAACAATTCCCCTAATCTGGTTGAAGGTACCGGTTAACGCAAGACGGGATTCTTTCTGTGTTCGGAACTACCAGGTATTTATGAGTTTTTCGAACTTTCAAAGAAGGGTGCTTGAGCAGACCTCAAGAAATTTTGGCAGGATTATAAATTTTGGGAATAGTATTTTGTATAAGTGGTAACCGGAATACAATATTAGTTCTACAAGGTTGCAAGTAGTTTGTTCAGGGCGGGTTTTGAAACTGAAGTTAGTCGGGAAGGGTTGTATTGATTATTACCGCTACCATTTCACCTTAACTTGGGCATAAAATTAATGCAACGAATGGCTGGAGATTTCAGGCTAAAATATTCCCAATTTATCGGATTAAATTCGGGAAGGTAACTCAGATTCCGGCCTCTGAAGTTAAGCGCTCATCCCTTGCACGTTGATTGACAACAGGTATTAAAGCACAAATAAATGATAAGTTAAGACTTAATTTGGTTTTACGACAGAAAATTATTCCAAGGCGGCCGCGAGGACTTAAAAATATCGGCTAAATTCAGAATATCAAATTTAAGCAACACAGTTTATAGGAAACTGGCGAATATTTTGTTTCATTCCGACCACCATGCGTATCTATAATTTTCTGATAAAAATGGAAACTGTGGTAATAAATGGATCGGATATAATTTATTATCTCTAAATTTTTAGAAGTCTGAGACATAAAAATCGCAACGCGTTTTGAAATATCATATGCTGCAAAAAGGAAGCGATAAATCGCATCATAGAAAGACCATAAAAATCTGCTACTAAAATTGGCAAAAGTTTGTTTTAAATCAGATAGCTCAATCTGGTATCAAAAAAAGTGAAATAAGAAGTTATAAGCAGCACAGTTCAGCTTTGAATTTGTTTATAGGCTTTTAAAAATTTTTCTGACATATTTTAAGAAAGGGGATAAAAATATGCAACAATACTGCAATTTAAAATCTCATCTAACCGACTTATTTGAGTAATAGATAAATTTTATTCAGCATATGCAGCCCAGCTTTTTCTTAAGGTTTGTTTCAGTCCAACTTTTAAAACTTCAGAGAAAAACTAATTCAACAAGACTGCTCCTATCAAGGCAAAGCCCTGAATGTTCCGACTGCCTTTTCAGGTCGTCTATGGAGCAGTAAAAACATGAAAAAATTAAATTTAAACAAAAAACAAAAGAAATTTTTCTCTTTCGAATTTGAGATTTTTATGAAAATCATCCCCCACACGCCATATAAAATACAAAAAGATAAATTTCGCTGATACTAATAAATCAGTTCTGGCAAATGAGCTTCCTTCAACCAATTTGGAACGATTTCTAAGACGTATTAAATCTCCGCTTACGCGTTAATAGCGCGAAATATATCGCGCGTTAATTGTCCTAAATTGGCCAAAATAGCAATCATTAAACACCCATAACCTTACGAAAAATGATCACAGGTGAAATATCTTTTCAAATTCAAACCAAGGATAACAATACCTTTTGAAAGTAATTTTTGTCGAAATGGCTAGTCAAAAATTCGAAATTTGTTTGAAGAAAAAAAAAACACCCGGACAACAAATATTCCGTTACTTTCGTTTCGAAAGGTGGAACAATAATAAAGAGAAGCCGTGGCAAAGTGAATATTTGCAAAGTTATGCTATTTGCCTCACTTAGTCATTGCTTTGTGATAAAACAAACAATTCAATTGAGGACAAAGAAACAATCTTGCTCGTTTATCAGGGCGAAGCCCTGAAAGTTCCGACCTAACCCATAATTCATATCAAATAGTTTTTTGGAAACGAAAATCTTGAAAACCTATAACTATTTGACAATATCAAAGGGTGAAACTTTGAGACATGTGAAAGTAATTCGACCGATCCAATTAGCGAGCCTCATTTCAATTTGGGACGATTTTGTTGTGGTATAAAATTCGCCACGCATAAATAGTTCGCGTTACGCTCTCAACAATATGAACAAAGTCTTCAAAGCACGCAAAATTTAGTCCATAACATAGCTAATTTGGCCATTTTCAAACCACCAAGCTTTACAAAAGTAAGTGGAGGTAAAAACATCTTTTTAATATTGAACTCAGAAAGTCAATATCTTCAATGGGGTATAAAAAAATTTTGTTGAAAACGTTTATTTCGATCGGCGAACATTTACTGAGTAAAAAAACCACACCGAGCATTAAACTTCCGCTTCCTTCAAAAGTCGGAATAATAAGAATTTTGAATAAGCCTTGAATTTTCCGACCGCTTTTAATTTCTAGGAATAGTTTGAATTAAAACAATTGATAAAGTTTTCTATAAAAAAATTCAACCAAATTTTTTGAAGTTTTCTTTAAAGTTTGACACCCCACACGCTGGTAAAATTTAAAATGATACATTTTGCTTTGTTACAATAAACTGAATAGACTAAAAATCTTGCCTCAATCCTATTTGGACTAATTTCTAAGACGGATTAAATCTCCGCTTGCGCGTCAATAGCATGAAAAATATTGCGCAGTAATTGTCCCAAATTAATTAAATCCCTAGCCTTGAAAACCCCATATTTTTCCAAAAAAGGTGAAATATCAGTTTAAAACTAATCTCAAAATCATAATACGTTTTGGATGATTTTAACAAATTTCGTCATTTTTTTTTCAAAATGGTCAGAACAATAATGAAAAAACTTTGAGTTATTAACAATGTCAATTGTATGAAACAACCCAATTTGGTGCTGTTCTTGATATTTACAGCAAATAGTTTTATAGCAGTTCAAACTTTCGAACAAACTAACGGAAATCTTATGCTACTATCTTTTCTCTAAGCAAAACTCGAATACCAAAATTACAGAATCTGCATATTTTTTCACCCAATCGAGGATACCGCCTTGTTGTAGCAAAACACTTGCAATCATTTTCAGGAATAAACAAATTTTCTGAACAGTTTTATATGCCATTCATATCCATGGTCTACAATGATCCACTCGCAGGCATAGTTTAAACAAGACTGCTCGTATCAAGGCAAAGCCCTGAATGTTCCGACTGCCTTTTAAGGTTTTTGGAGCAGTAAAATCATTAGAAAAAAATTTAATGTAATAAAATGAAATGAAATTTTTTTTTTCTCTAAAATTTGAAATTTTCTCTGAAAATCATCACCCCACACGCCATATAATTTACAAAAGAATAGATTTCGCGTTATATTAATAGCGCGAAATATATCGCGCGTTAGTTGTCCCAAATTGGCTAAAATAGCCAAAATGGCTACCTTTAAATCCCCATAACTTTTTGAAAAATGTTCACAGGTAAAATATCTTTTCAAATTTAAGCTCAGGACAACAATACCTTTCGAATTATATTTAAAAATTTTGGTCAAAAATGGCTAGTTAAAAAGGCGAAATTTGTCTGAAGAAAAAAATCCACCCCGAGCACAAATGTTCTATTACTTTCGTATCGAAAGTCGAAACAACAAGACTGCTCTGCTCGTATATCAGAACGAAGCCGTGAGTATTCTCACTGTCACTAACTCGTTTTGATCAGTGTTTGTAGGATTTTTTTTCGTTAAACCATAAAATTGTACTACCAATATCAAATGTGAAATGCCAAAACTTGTGTCAAATTAAAAGGACCAATTATTTTGCCTCAATTCAGTTTGCAATTGTTATCAGCGCGCAATAAATTTTTCCGTAAAAACTTTTCGTATTGAAACTTTTGAGTACTAATCGAGAAGCTGCCGATTGCATTTTGTCAATTGCAAGCACACTGGCTTTGCAATCAGAAAATTTCCGGATTGATACTCGCGCTTTTAATTTTCATTGTAAAAATAATCTGAATAAAAAAACCACCCTATGCCTTTATGATCATCATTTTAAATGAAAGATGGAATAATGAACGCGGAGTTTGCGCTTAAAATTTACTCTAAATGTTGTGCTTCCTTACCGATAATTCTTTTTTAATAAAAAAATGTTCTGCAAAAAAAGAAAACATTTTGGCGGAAGAATCCAAGGTGACCGCTCGCCAGGCGAAGATTATTATTAGTTTGATAATTTTCCTTGTGACGAAGAAATCACTCGACCTAATGAGTTTTCGCTTTGTTCGTTGGTATACTTTTTTGGCAATTTGAGAAATAATCATCTAAGTTTGCATCTATGGAAGTATCAAAATCGGTTGTCAAATGCTTATTGGTTTTTCCGAATTTGTTCTAAATTCTGAAAAATTTAGAAAACAGCAAAGAAAAATGTCACCTTTATCAAGTATTTTGGTGGCTTTGGTTTTCTCTTTAAAAAGTATGAAAACACCTTTCACATGTTTATTTAGTTAACCTACAAAAGACGGCTAAATTTCTCTATATATTCCCCAAAGTTTATATAAAAAGCCATCATCGATTCACTTCGCACCAGAACTCGATATTCGCTCAGGTATAAATGACATGTGTTTACTTTGAAATCACTACAGTTTCCATTAGACGATGAAAAACAACACATCAAACAAACAGCCTGAAAAAAGACATTTCCCCGTATTATCAGCGTCTTACTGAGTATTTCGGCTATCTGACTAACTTTTATATCTATACTGTGCGCCATCAATTTAAGGTCGACCAACCCATATTATTATATAGTAACACCGCCGATGTGATCACAATTTGATAAAGGAGGCTCGGCAAAAACGCAACGTTTCGGTCATAGCCTTGCAAAGTACCGGGAATTTTGCATAAATTAGTTTGCGACTGCGTCATAAGCTTTTTGAAAAGACGCGGCAGAGTGTTCGAGACGTGATTGAAAAACCAATTGGAAATACCCCCTTCCGCTCTTGCTTTAAATGAATTCAGGTCAAATTTTGCTCACTTCAAATCGAGTTTAGTTCTTTGATTATTTTATACCAACACTAGAACCAAACATCTCTTGTTTAAAGAGAAAGCAGAGCAAATTATGAAAAAGTGGGAAAATAACTTTAAAAATTACTTACGTGAAAGAGGAAATGACACTTCCACTTATCATCTTTCTCCTCATTAGCGGACTGACTGATTTTGACACGCGGCTTCGCAGCGACATTTCAGCCCAATTAAGCCACCAAATCGGATGAAAGTTATAATTTCAAGATATTTGTTAATGCTAGCTGCAGTAAACAGCAAAAAAGAGAAATTTCTGAGCAACGAATTGTATAAGTAACGTTTAAACAGGCCACAAAATGGTTCTGCTCGTTAGGTGCTTTTGATTGGGAACTTCTTTGAAAAAGATTCTATTAAAATGTGCTCCCAGTGCAGGTAGTTGATTGATAGGCGCTGATAAAATGACGTATTTGTATTGATTTTTTATGTGAAGTTTTGAACCATGTGGCCGGTTGCTCACAAAAGTTCACGTCAAATAACTTACGATATCATTTGTTTTTAGCGCAGGCAAAAACCCAAGTAGCTTAAATGCGTGACGCTTTCAAACTGAAATAAAAGTACTTTTTGCCATTAAGCAAATAAGTCGAAAATGGGTTGGGACTTGGAATAAAAATGCTAACAAAAAGGGGGTAAGATAATACTTAAAAGTTGAGATGAATACACTTAGTGCGTGACAAAAGGGTAAAATGGGCGGAATTTGGACAAATCAAAGATGGGACTTCACTTAAGGAAAAGCAATACTGCGGAATGAAAATTTTCACTTTCCTTCACAGTTAAACAGTTTGAAGCGGAAGTTGTTAAGCTCAAGTGTATGGATCAAAAGTGCGAAGTCACACTTTTTAAATCAGGTTTCCATTTTAATCAGAAAAGTTATTTTTATGAGTTCTTTTGTTTCGAAAAATCGGGCTTCAAAGGATCAATCTTCATGACAAAAATGATCGACGTATTCGATTTGACTTCCATATTTGTCAGATATAAAAAACAATGTGAATGTTTTAAAGCCAAAGTGGAAAGACATAAATCGAAATTGATGAGCGTTTTTAATTCAAAACATCGGCGAATACTAGAGTCATTTTTTGTATCATTTGTAGAAAAAAAAAACTAAAGCGTTTTCAAGTTGGTACAAGTTGGTTTGTTGCAAAATTTTGCCATTGAAATATTTAACAAAGATACGCATGAATATTGAACAATGACCAAAAATATGAGTTTTAGGAGCTAAACAGAAGGAAGTAATGTTTGTACTATAATGGATATTGTGAATGTTGTTCACTGACTTCCTTATGCCTTTTTTCAATCAACTATGACATCAAAACTGAGAGCTATTCCAAATATATTTTTAATATTGCGTCTCTCCCGTAGCTATTTTAGTAAATACCTTCTATCGACAAAGAATTTGTATCAGTTTGACGCATAGTAGCTGTATTTGAAACTGGTGCAATCTTAAGGATTTTTTCTAAATTACTTCAGGCATTTTTGCCATTTTCAGAGCGCGTGCGTGTCTGGCGTATATACAAATTTTCTACATGCCTGCCGCTTTTGAAGGATAGAGATAAAAAATTAATCAATAAAAGCTCTCTGTTTTATTGCTATGCTTCTATTTCAAAAGCCCTAAGAACACGCAACGGTGCAAATACACACATACCATAGGGAGCTGTGCAAAAAATATATAGCTGCGATGACAATTCCATGGATGTTCTTTTGTCATTTAAGAGGGCGTAAATCTGACCATGCGATCAACAGTCTGCGAAGTATATTGAACTTTTTTGTTTTATGGGTATCATAAATGAGGTTTTATAGATACCATATATCACAAGACCAAACAACAATATTCTCCAAATTCTACCGTGTGTACCGGGTGTAAAAAGAAATACTTAGAAAAAGGTATATCATTTATGTTATTTAATTATATGCACTCGGTTTTTGATTTTGTCTGTTTGAAGAGCAAACTGACTTAGGGTTATGTTTGAGATTTTTGTAATGTTATGGCATTTTTCCTGTTATAATAGGATTGAAATTTTATGCCTACAACAAAAATTGCTTAGAAAAGTTCCTAAGAGCTATAGACAGTATGATGCGGAGAATGCTTTAGTGTGGCACCTCCTCGAGTGGTGTAGTCCTTTACGGTGTGGTCCGCAGTAATCGGATCTACCCCGGTGCATCCTGGGGAATTGGTCTGAGCTTTTGAACTGTCGGGTAGGTATTTGTATTTCCTGTCTGCCTGCGCGTTATACTGTGTGGAGTTTGCAGTATAACACCGACGGTTCATCAAACGAGGCCAATTCTGCTAGCGTCACACGCCGCATTGCCCAGTGCTTAGAGACGTAGGTGCGAACCAAGGGGAGCGTTGCTTCGGCAAATGTGAGCCTTGGGGGATACCCGACATCTTTGTATTTGCGCATGCCCCTCCTGTCATTGGTCTAACCAATGGCGGGTTTCCCGTACGTCTATCAACACTTTGTGCGGCTTCGTGTTCGGCGAAGGTCTATGCTTGCATAGTCGTGTAAAAACCCTTCTGTTTAAAGGAGTTTTAGGGATACTCTTCCCTCAAAGCGGTAGCTATGTTCTATAGTTACTGGCGATTGTTAAAGGATCTTAAGTTGCCGGTTAGTATGGACCCGAATGCTGACAGCGGGTTATCGGTTTTTCCTAGCTGTCTGTTAGTAGGGGAAAGAAAGCTGGCGATACGAGATTCCTGCCCAAGTAGTGCATGAGCTATGCTCATCGGTCTAAGCCAAAGACCTCGATCTAAGCCAGAGACCTTTTAAGTTATCCCTGTGGGTTATCTATGATGACCATGGGCCAACGAGTGGGATTGAATAGGAGTGGTGCCCCTATAGGATCCAAGCTGGTCACGTAAGGTGGGATGTCGTATGCACTACAAGCTCCCTTTAAGTGACCAGGTAGCAAGAGTATCCGACTCATCTCAGCATGGCTAGGATAAGCTACGGGACGCACTGTGTGCGTCGGGGTCCGCTGAGATATATATACTTAGAAAAAGGTATATCATTTATGTTATTTAATTATATGCACTCGGAAAACTATTCGGTTTTTGATTTTCAAGAGCAAACTGACTTAGGGTTTACTTTGAGATTTTTGTAATGTTAAGGCATTTTCCTGGTATAATAGGATTGAAATTTTATGCCTACAACAAAAATTGCTTAGAAAAGTTCCTAAGAGCTATAGACAGTATGATGCGGAGAATTGGCATTAAAAACAAATGTAGTTGAAAAACTCAGCTCATCCCAGTAAAAAATTACGGAAAAATTCATTTTCAAAATATAAAAGGAATTTTTTAAACATTTTAAGATTGCTATTGAATGAGATGTCGGAGAAGGCGAAAAACGGCTCAAGTTTTGCCACAAAAAGTATAGCAAAATGTGGTTTCGATTGAGAAAGTAATAAGAGTAAGAACAAAATTAACAAGATTGCTCGTATCAGGACAAAGCCCTGAATGTTCCGACTGCCTTTTTTGGTTTATGGAGCAGTAATAACATTTAAAAATTAAAAGAAAAAAAACAGAAAGAAAATTTTTTTTTCTTAAATATGAAACTTTTTGTGAAAATCATCCACCCACACGCCATATGAAATACGAAGTGATAGATTTCGCTCGTGGTAACAAATCAATTATGGCGAATAAGCTTCTTTCAACCAATTTGGAACGGTTTCTTATACGGATTACGTGTTAATAGCGCGAAAAAATTCGCGCCTTAATTGTACCAAAGTGGCCCAAATGGCAATCTTTAAACCCCCGTAACTTTACGAAAAATGATCACAGATGAAATTTATTTTCAAATTTAAGCTCAGAACAACAGTAGCTTTCGAATGATTTATAAATTTTTGGTCAAAAATGGCTAGCTAAAAAGTCAAAATTTGTATGAAGAAAAAAAACCCACCCCGAGCACAAATATTCCGTTACTTTCGTATCGAAAGTCGGAACAATAAACCTAAAAAGCGCGGAACGTATACCTTTACAGTAGTACAGCAATTGAGGTTGAAAGACAGCCGTGACATATAAAGAAAGTTCTAAGCTAGTTGAAGCATGGTCAAGTTTACGATTCCAAGAATTTTGAATTAGATTTTGCAACATATTTGATTGCGAGTAAGTTTTTTAAATTGAGATTTTTGTGAGAACATCACCCCACACCTCATATATACTACAAAGTGATAGATTTTGCTCTTATTAACAAATCAAATATGGCATATAAGCTTTCTGAACCAATTTGGAACAATTTTTAAGACGGGTTAAATCTCGCTTACGCGTTAATAGCGCGAAAAAAATTGCGCGTTAATTGTCCCAAATTGGCCAAAAGGGCAATATTTAAACCCTTGTAACTCTACAAAAAATGATCACAGGTAAAAATATCTTTTCAAATTTGAGCTCAGGACAACAATACCTTTCGAATGATAAAAAAAATTCCGTCAAAAATGGCTAGTTAAAAAGTCGAAATTTGTCTGAAGAAACAAAAAACCACCTCGAACACAAATATTCCGTTACTTTCGTATCGAAAGTCGGAACAACCATAATAGCTATAATAATGATTATAACAATCATAATCATCATAATAATAATAACAATAATAATCATAATAAAATGTTTCCAGTTCGCGTGCGCATTGATTGATATAAATTAAATAAATGATCGCCTGAAGAACCGTGATTTTCCTCTGGATTTACACAGAAAAAAGTGTTATGAAAAATTTCGAAAAGTAATTAAATATTTACACTTTAATTTTTAATTTATAAAAAAGTTTTTACTGCTTTAAGAAAAACAGGTTTAAAAGATAAGGCTAAAAGTAGTGTTCTCGATGAAAATAAAATTTCCTTCTCTAATCTGTATTTCCAATCAACATTTTCCCGCTTTTTTTTCATTTTTTGTTTCATTTTCAGCTGTTTTTTTTTATTTTGTCGCCAATTTAATTACCTCTCCTCAGCAAAGAAAAAAAATTGGGAAAAATATGAAAAAAATGTGAACAGAATTTTAAAATTAAAACAATACTTGTGTTAAAAATATTTTGTTGGAAAAAATTTGAAATAAAAACAAAATTTGGATCAAAAATTGGTCGCAAAAAAATCGATTTTATTGCCATTAGCACTTCAACCGTTTATAAATTATGATTTTTATGCAAAAAAGGTTTTATACAGAATGTCTATTGAAAAGAATATTATGGCAGTTTTCTTAAAATATCTTTCCTAACTCTTAACTTTCTTAATGTAATGTAATTTGATCAATTAAAAGAATACATTTTTTGTTTTAAACTTCCAATTGATTGAAGAATTTGCATGGCATGGCGCCTTGCGGCTGTGTTTTTCCGACTAAGCCTAACAAAAAATAAGAGTAGCTGATTGCTCTACAAATAAGAACAGAAAGTGGCTCTTTTCCTCAAGTTTGTACCTTTTTGCACGTGGTAATAGGAGATGAGCGAATAATGCTCCGAACAGAAGTAAGCTTATCAAACGGGCGTTCAAGTAGCTGTACAAAGTACAAAAAAAAGGTTTCGAAAAATACCTTATTCACTTGCTTTACTCGTACTTGTTACTCGTACGTTGGAAAAAATTGAAACAACAGTTAATTTTAGATTCTTCCAACTTTCACTAGTTAGAACAATTGTATTCAAAAATTTGAGCAGAATAAAAGGTTAAAATTTTTTGAGACGGAGAAATATTTTGCCTAAACTTGCGCTCATTAAGTTCGAAACTTGATATATGAAAAAGATTATGTTTACTGGCTCCAAATTTAGGTTAATTTATGTTGTTTTCGAAAAAATTTTCTGTCTCTAAGGTCTATTTTTTGGACCATACCCACACACTAGATTAGAAAGTTAATTAAACTGATGTTTAAAAAACATAATTTTTATTTAGGAAAATTATTTGAAAGTTGTTGAATGCCAAAAAAAAACATTTTTTTGATGCGGAAAACGCAGTTTTTGCCGGAATTGACGCCAAAAACATGTTAAAGAACATTCCAAAAAACACAAATGATGACTGCAGCTCATCTTTGAGATCGCTCCAATTTCAGTGTTGAATTGATTTTTGTTAATTTTTAATGCAGAGGGCTCTGCAATAAATGCAAACTATCAGTTTCTATGAAAATTTACCTAGATTTTTTGTTAAAAACCGTGAGAAAAATTTGGATGACTCAACGGTGGGTTAATAAGATTTTGAGTTTTTCAATTCCGATTTTTTGTTTTTATTATAAACTTGATGAAAACTTCACTAAAGAGCAAATTTGCTTATAAGTATATGCTATTTGACCAAGTGTTCTACAAATTTTGACACTTCTACAATCAAAAACCTGCAAGAATAAAAAAAGTATCAACATTTTGTTCATTATCACCACTCAGTTTACTTGGAGTTCGTCCGATAAGCTAAGCAGAGCAAGTTTCATTTCAAAAAATTCAACA